TGCCCTCTCTAGGATCTGCCCCCAGATCTCCAAGAATTTCTCAACCTAGGAGACTCCCCCCCCCACCCCGTGTAATAACTTCCCAGCAGACAGGAAGTGGTTTAAATCATGAAAAATAGGCCATTTAACATTTGAGGCTCTATCCCCGCCAGGCATGAGTGGAAGGAGACTGCAAAAGTAGATCTCTTCCACCACCACCCCAACACCCCCCTGAAAAACATTTGCTGTGAGACTCAGGGAATCCTTTGAATAAATTACCATGGGGGAGGGGGCTGCAGTGAGGAGATGGACTTGAGTCTCTCCCCACCCCCAGCACCAGCAGAGGAAACTTCTGAGATGAATAAATAAAATAAAATAAAATAAAAGGCAGCAGGTTGGCCTTGTTTTCTTTTCTTATTTTCTCCCCTGGCCACGCCGCTTGACATTTTGTTTATGATTGTCTGCTGACTCTACATAGAGGTTGTTTGGGTCATGCAGAGGCAGGAAAGCGAACTTGGAGAAGATCAGCTTTTCTGTCTCTGTGTGGTAGCAGAATCCAGCTACTTAATTTAAGGCCAAACAGAGCTTTGATCAGCCTCAGAGGGTGCACTATGCATCCCTTAAACATTTTAGTATTTTTAGTGTTTTGGAAAATCATATTGCATTGCATGGTTTTAGATAACAATATTCTTGGCCCTGAATAGAATCTTTTTTTTTTAAGAGTAAGATTGGGGAGGGGAGGGACCTCAGTCAAAAAGCCAGTTTGGTGTAGTGGTTAAGAGCAGCAGGACTCTAATCTGGAGGACCGGGTGTGGTTCCTCTCTCCTCCATGTGAAGCCAGCTGGGTGACCTTGGGTCAGTCACAGCTCTTTCAGAGCCCTCTCAGCCCCACCGACCTCACAGGTGTCTGTTGTAGGGAGAGGAAGGGAAGGTGATTGTAAGCTGCTCTGAGACTCCTTCAGGTAGTGAAGGGCGGGGTATAAAACCAACTCCTTGTCCTCCTCCTCCTCCTCCTCCTCCTCGTTGGAGCACTTCTCCTCCTCCTCCTCCTCCTCCTCCTCTGTATAGTGCCACAGAGTCCACCCTCCAAAGGGGAACTGATCTCTGTCATCTGGAGATCAACTGTAATTCTGGAAGATCTCCAGGTCACACCTGGATGTTGGCAACCCTGCTATAAGATTTTTCTTCTTCCTGGTGATCCTTTCTGTTTTAGACTGCCCCTTCTCCTCAGTTACATAACTGCCATGCACTGCTCCATTTCCTCCCCACACCCTATCAATACTCTCAACCAGAAACAAGGGCTGACTCTCAATGTTCCACATGAGTTGGAAGGTAAATGACCATGTTATTTGACTGACATTTACAATCATAGAGTGCTGAAACAGTTGTAGAAAACATGTAGTTACTAGGCACAACTTAGGAGTGCTTGGGTTGGGTCCAGCTAGCTACTTGATACTCTCGCTGAATTCACTTCCTCATTACAGCCCCCCTATCCCATATGGCTTTTGTCCCTGCGCTTCTCACGATCCCCAACATAACTTTTTTGGAGTGGTCAACAGAGACCTCTCCACTCATTTCCACTAGCAGAAAAGCTGGCTGGATGCAGCCCTATGTGTTTGTCCAGCTGGGAGGGCAGAGTAGAAATCAAATACATGAATGAATAAATTAAATTTTAATCAAAAAGAGATACTGATTGTTGATGAAATGTACATAAGAACATAAGAAAAGCTAATATGGACCAGGCCAATGGCCCATCTAGTCCAACACTCTGTCACACAGTGGCCAAAAATACCAAGTACCAGCAGGAGGTCCAGCAGTGGGGCCAGGACACTGTTGCCCCCCCCCCCCAGCATCGAGAATACAGATTCTGGAAGATCTGATTTAAATGGAAACTCTCAAATTATTTTATTTTTATTTTTTTACACGAAAAGGGTCCTTTTTGCCCTTACTAGCACTGTGGGGATTAATCTGCCCAAAGGGTTGCCGGTTGACCATCTCCATCCCTAGCAATGGATGCTGCTGTGGAATCATTGGAAACACTTAGGCAACCCTTCCTGACTCACAAGCATTGTTCGCAATGCTTATTCTGCACTTTTGACTGAGGTGCTGTTGTCAGCTTGCGTTGGCAGGGGTTGCCCTAACATCATGTGCGTAGTTAGTGTTCAGTCATCCCTCGGGATCACCCTTTGAAATACCTCTGGCGACCGTTTGGCAATTCCAGGGCATAGTTTTCACTTCCTCCTTTTGTGCTTTCCAAGTCACTTGGCGTTGCATGTGAGTCACGACGACTGGGGCGTACATGAATGATGTCCTACATGAACAAGGCCTCATCGAATGATCGTTGCTTTGTGCCACCCTACTTCCCCAAACAGAGCAGGATGAGATTCCTTCTGAGTAAAGAATACTGCTGACCTATTCTTTTTCCCCTTTAATTTTGCTGTAACATCTGTTTATTGACAAAAATGCAAGTTCAGTGATCCAAGTTCAGTGAAGAGGTCAAATGCAAGTTCAGTGAAGAGGTCAAGGCCTCTTCAGTGGGTTTTCTTCAACTGAAAGCGGCACCTTGTGGTGTCGTTGGTGGTATTAGAAGGCGCTATCAAGCCGCAGCCGACAGGGCCACCCCATTGGGTGTTCGAAGGCAAGAGACAAACAGTGGTGGTTTCCTTTGTCTCCCTCTGCATTTTGACCCTGGACTTCCTTAGCAGTGTCCCATCCAGATACTGTCCAAGGTTGACCCTGCTTAGCTTCCGAGATCTGATGAGAGCCAGTTTGGTGTAGTGGTTAAGTGCGCGGACTCTAATCTGGGAGAACCGGGTTTGATTCCCCACTCCTCCACTTGCACCTGGCTGGATGACCTTGGGGAAGCCATAGTTCTGATAAGAACTGTCCTTGAAAAAGAGCAGTTTCTCTCAGAGCTCTCTCAGCCCCACCTACCTCACAGGGTGTCTGTTGTGGGGAGGGGAAGGGAAAGGAGTTTGTAAGCCACTCTGAGACTCCTTTGGGTAGTGAAGGGCGGGGTATAAATCCGATCTCTTCTTCTCTTCTTTTTCTAGCCTGGGCCATCCAGGTCAGAGTGGAAATGAACACTGGTGATTTTCCATTCCATGCCTCTGCATGTACCCTAGATGGTTTTTAATGTGCTCCTTTTTTCCCCCCCCCCCCCCCGCAAGTGGTGTCTAGTTTTGGGAGCTAGAGAACATTGCTTGCCAAAATAGTTCACTTTCAAGAAAAAATTACATTTTATGCTTGCATGTTTTGTATGTTCGTAAACTGAAATTTAAAAAATAAAAATAAAATGCAGGCTGGCTCATAACTTTTATGGTTTGGCTCACGAAGAAAATTTTTTGCACACAGAGGTTCAGAGCTTAGAGGGAACATTGATAGCAACCCTGGACTTCCTTGGTGGTCTCCCATCCAAACTGATCCTGCTTAACTTCTGAGGGTCGACCCTGCTTAACTTCTGAAATCGGATGAAATCGAGCTGGTCTGAGCCATTCGGATCAGGACAGCGGGTTGTGCAAACTGATTTCCCCCTCATATTTCTTCTGACCCCTTCTCTGCCCATAATGCTCACTCTCCCACAATCCTTGAACTCGGGGGGGGGGGGAAACCAAGGAAGTTTGTGGGCAATAGATTCAGGAATGACAAAAGGAAACATTTCTAACCTCTACTTGTAATTATATTCTGCAATTCACTGCCAGTGGACATAGTGAAAGCCACAAGCATGAATGGCTTTAAAACGGGAGGATAGATCCATCGACAGCTACTATCCATAATGACTAAAGGGAACCTTATAAGAAGCAATAAATCTCTGAATACTAGTGCTGGAAAGCAACATCAAGGGAAGACCTCGGCCTCTGTGCCCTGTTGTTGGCCCTCCAGGGGAACTGGTTGGCCACTGTGTGAAATAGGATGCTGGATTAGATGTACCACTGGTCTGATCCAGCAGGGCTCTTCTCGTGTTCTTAAAACCTTAACAGGATGCAAAGTTGAGTATATTGACATAGTTGGGGTCAATGTTCCCTCTAAGCTGAGTTAGTGTGAGCTAGCTCACAGTTTTTTAGCCTCTGGCTCACACATTTTTGTCTTCGCGCAGGAAGGATGGCTCCAGATCAAACTAATATATGACTTTGCCACTCTCTTGAGCCAGCTCTGCATATCTGAACCATGATAAGGAGAGGATATTTCTCCCTCTCCAAATGCATGCTGTAAACACCATATTACATCACACGCCTACACTAAGTCCCATATGCTCTCTGTACAGGCAAGACGCCTTAGAAATGCGTTAACGGATGTTTCAGATTAGCATGGACTCGAAGTGCGCAACAAGTCCAGATACACCCACATTCTTTTATACATTCCTTTGGTTCCTACGGATCTGTTTCTTCATTGCCTCTCATAATCATGTACAAAATTGATGGGCCATTGCTCATTCGCTCATTTCTCCACTTAATCCTTTCCAGTTTGTCAGCTTCCTTCTTGAACTATGGCACCGAGCAGGGAAGGCAGTCTTCCATCTGAGTACAGCACAGAAGGGGACTGTAAGAGTGACTGTTTTTGAGTTTTCCATGTGTATGCTGGTATTCCACCAGTGTTCCCTGCAGTAAATATGGACATGGTGAATGACAGACCTGCATCTGAAACCCCCATGGAGGAAGCCAACCTCAGCGTCTTCCAGATATGTGCAAGTAGATGTGGCTGCCATTGATATTTCCCATGTTTCCTGCAGGAAGCAGCTCTGTAAAAGAACAACTGATTCTTTTTTTTAAAAAAAAGTATAGTCCATAAGATGTTCTATCTTCCCTTGCACAGCTCTGCACAGCTGTCTTCAAAAAAATTCATTTTGCCTTCCTAACTCTCTAGCTTATTTGAGATAGTCTGAACATGCTGTTATCTTGGCTTCTGTAGAATTTGCAGCTTGTTTTTTTATGATTTTCTGACAGCACTGAGCAGTCCTTGGCACTGCAGTGACCACAATGCAACCCTGTAATGAAAGTAATCCCAGGAGGAGCTACCATTTCATGATTCCTCTTTCTCCTTTCTATTTCCAGCTCACAACCTCCAAGTACCCAGTGGTGGTGAAGATGGGACATGCTCACTCCGGAATGGGCAAGGTGAGTGTCACGATTGCTCTGCCGGGTGGTGGAACAGTTGCATTTTTACCTCCTCTGCATAGTATCACACAGCTAAGAAGTCACCATCCTGTCCTTTGCAGTATCTCCAGTGCGTTGATTTATAATCTGTTCCCATTCTCAGTTGCTTATGCAGGACCAGCTCAGCCCAAGGTGGAGGGGGTAGGGTTGCCCACCCCCTGATGGGGGCAGGGGTTCCCTCTCTTCCTGCTCCCCCCAATCCACCACTGGCTAGCTGGCCGGCAGGGGGAACCCTGCCCCCAAAGAGCCCCATCACCCCCAACATGCCGGTGTGATGTGCAGGGGATGCTGTAGCATTTGGGTAAAAACTCTATGGTAACTCCAGGAGAAGACTCCAGGAGGGGGGCTGGAGTCCCCCACTGGGATCCAATCAAGACCTGGCAACCCTAGGAGGGGTGGTGGTGTTTTGCCTTTAGATCGATTACCCACCCCCCCCGGATTATGACACCTCGGGCAGATGCCGGAACTGGTTTGAGCCAACCTAGCCTGGAATATAGAGTTGCCAACATTCAGGTGGTCCCAAATATACAAATTCCACTAGTAGAAAACACCATCAAATATTGCCAAAACAATATGTTAAACCATTATAAAGTTGGTGGTGTCACAACAACAACATTAATGCATACTGTAAGTATAATAAGGCATAAGATACAATATTTCCTCCTTTGAAGATAAGACATAAATTCCATGTAGTCAGTGTAACTTGATAGGAGGAATCCATTGACTTAAGACCTCTTGTCAATGAAGCTAATAAATGAAAGGATAGGAGGAGTCCACATAGTCATAACATTTTCCAAACAGCCTTTGCAAAGATGCCCATTCTAGATACTTGGAAGATGCGTTTCTTTCGACGTCTTCAGTTTGCCGGATGTGCAGGTAGAATCTGATTTCAGCAATTTCAACAGACCACAAGGTTCATAGTGTAAGAAGCGAATCACAGGTTCTCAAATTAACACACACAACACACAACATTCTTCCCACTTCAATGAAACATTGAAGTGGGAAGAATGTTGTGTGTTAATTCACAGATTAGAATTGTTGACGTGTAAACTAATGGTACTCACGCAGCACACTTAGAAAAAGCTGTTATGTGAAACGGTATTATATGCAATTCCCGTTGTCTGTATGAGTATATTTTTACAATGTGATGAAGAAATACGATTCACTACAGTAGTCTAAATATATTTTCATAATATAACATCACGGTTGTTTTCGTTATTGTTTGCATCCTTCCCCTGATCTCTCTGTTGTTTCTACAAAGCCCCTGATGGGGGCAGGGGTTCCTCCGTTTTCCAGCTCCCCAATCTGCTGCTAGCCAGCTGGCCAGCAGGGGGAGCGCTGCCCTCATCACGCTCAATGCGCCTGACACAATCATGTCACCCAGAGGGGATTATAAAGTTTTTTACCCGAATGCTAGAGCGTCCCCTGCACGATGTGCTCGGCGTGATGACGTCCCTTCCGGGTGACGTCATCACAGCACGCACACCAGAAGGCTCCAGGAGCCAGGCTGGAGCCTCCTGCCAGGACCCAGTTAGGACCTGGCAACCCTAGAGGCTGTACTCTCTGGCATTCGATAGAGTTTAGGAGAAACAGAAGCCCTGGCATGTTGTCACATTCATGCTGAGCTCCATCCCTGACCTCTGCCTTCCCAAGGCACTGCTCTCAAATCTCCAGGAATTTCCCCAGCTATAGTTGGTAACCCTAACCCCACCGCACCACTGTGACTGACGTGGCTGATGGAGATCTGACTGGAGGGGACTTGGAGGAAATCGTGACCATGAGCTACATCTGAGGGGCCAACAGGTGTTCAAAGGACAGGAGCCCCATTAGACGCTGAGAGAGTATTTTGGGATGAGGAAGGGGGAAAGCAGCAGTGGCCGAGTGTAGCAAGGATTTGCTTGCCTTAGGCACAGTGAAAGGGAATGCTATTGTATGTTTGCTTGCAGGTGAAGGTGGAGAACCAATATGACTTCCAGGACATCGCCAGCGTGGTGGCCCTCACCAAAACCTATGCCACCTCGGAGCCTTTCATCGATGCCAAATACGATGTCCGTATCCAGAAGATTGGCAACAACTACAAGGCCTACATGTGAGCCTGGGGCAGGGGGCATCGGTCAGCCTCCTTCCTCTTTGCTGTGGGGGATAACCTTCAAAGCTCCCTACGACAGATTTCTGATCTCTGCAGCTGGAAGCCTGAGCTCCCATTCCTTCCCTCACTGCCTTTTCATTTTCTCCCTGATATGAGGGCAGAGTAGCCTTGGATATCTGATTCTCACCTGAGCTGTGGAGGTTCAGGGATTTTTTTTATACAAGGCTGGATCAATACATTCTGCTGAACAAATGGGGCATACCCCTGTTGAGCACTAACCCATAAAACAAAACTCCTTGCAAGGAGCATGGAGAGAGGTTGTCACCACACTTTCTCCTGCAACACCGGAGTTCAAGTTGAAAGAAACATTTAACATAGGGAAGCATTTGTTTTTGAACATCTGGCCTAGTAAAGAGTTTTGGAGAACTCGAATGCTTGCACAGTGTTTCATGTCGGAAGTCTTAACTCGTAAGCCCTTCCCCTCGCCCACACAAGGGCTAAGGCTCAGCATTGGTGGGTAAAGGCAGCCCCGTGTGCTCAGCGGTACTCTGGTAATTTAAAAGAGGGCAGTTACATTTTTTAACATAAATATACTTATAGTAGTTGTCTCTCTTTATTGCATCAGCAAATAAACCATAGCAACAATGATTCCATCACAATAAAGGCAATACGTTTACAGACATTTTCACGGGATAAATTAAAATGCATAAAGAAAATTTAAAATATCTCAGTCTACAACGCCCTGACAACCCAGATGACTAACGACCCAGAGCAGAGCAACTGGTGTGCAGGCCGTCCATGCTCGCATCAGCGTGCCTCATCGTCACTTTCATCTTCATGATGGCGGCAACAAACCTTGACATTTGGGAAGTGATAAATTTATCCCCGTGGGCCAGTAGTAATACTAATGTATCCTGATCACATAAATAGTTATACGTTACATTATTATACATGTTTGATGGAGTTACGCACAGGGCATCAGGCCCGTAGCCAGGATTTTGTAATCTGGGGGGGGGGCTTTAAATAAGTCAGGGGGCACTGACATAACAAAATAAAAAATAAAATTTAAATAAAATTTTGAAAAACTCACTTCTGCAGCATTTGCACTCTGCCTGGGGAAGGGGCAGCAGTGTGAAGTCCTCCGGGTGGCCCAGAGAGTCAGGAGTCCTCCGGGCAGCCCAGAGAGCTGGGGGGCCAGGGGGCTGGATGGAAGTTGGGGGGGCTTGGCAGGAAGTAAGGGGGCCAGGCCCCAGAATGCCCCACTGTAGCTACAGGCCTGCAGGGCATGCAGTAGTCATGTGGCTCTTTTGATTGGTGGTAATTGCAAATGTGGCTTTTGCCAAGCAATGGATTGAGGGTCATTGTTTTAAATGTTCGCTTCTGTAGTTGATAGATTTCTCTTTTCTAAAAAAGCCAAATTAAGGTTTTATTTACTTACTTATGTACTTATTTCATTTACCATCAGGCTTTTTTTTGATGAGGCTCAAGGCAGATTGCTAGGTTAGAGAATGATGAAATACAAACAGTATGATACATCCAACAGACCAGGGATCACCAAGGAGTGCCGCGGCTCCCACCAGTACTTCCCTCGGGCATCCACCAAGCTTTTCAGAAAGTGAGCATGGCCGGTGTCAGGCAGGGCTTGTTATTCTTTTGCCGTCAAGTCACACTTGACTTATGGCAACCGTGCTGAGTTTTCAGAGCAAGAGATCTTCAGAGGTGGCTTGCCATTGCCTGCCTCCACGTCACGACCCTGGTGTTCCTTGGAGGTCTCTCATCCAAACACTAGCCAGGGCCAACCCTGCTTAGCTTCCAAGATCTGACGAGATCTGGCTAGATTGGGCCATAGGGTTGCTAGGTCCTTACCTGCTGCTGGTTGGGGGGATGGGGGGGCGTTCTGGGGGTGGGCAGGGACATCATTGATGCGATGCTAATCAGTAACCAATAGAGTGACTGCAAAATAGGTGTAGTATACTTACTCTGCATAGCTCCTGATATTAAATGCACTGCAGTGTTTCTTACCACCTGGAGTTTCTGAGTTGTCTTCTAAGGCAGACCCATTTAGAGAATGTTACAAAAGTCCAGCCTTGAGGTTACTGTGGCATGGAGCCTCTTGGCCAAATCAGCTGGATCAAGGTAGCAAGCCATTCTCCAGGCTAAGTGAGAGCATCAGGAAGAATTCTGTACCATTAAATTAGTTTGCTTCAGGGTTCAGTATAACCCATAAGCTCTTAACCAAGTCAGCAGAGGGTTCCCAGTGTAGGAAATGCCATGCCTTCCCCACCAAAAAAAAGGAACACCACTAGGCAAAAATGCGATGCTAATCAGTAACCAATAGAGTGACTGCAAAATAGGTGTAATATGCTTACTCTGCATAGCTCCTGATATTAAATGCACTGCAGTGCTTCTTACCACCTGGAGTTTCTGAGTTGTCTTCAAGGGCAGGCCCATTTAGAGAATGTTACAAAAGTCCAGCCTTGAGGTTACTGTGGCATGGAGCCTCTTGGCCAAATCAGCTGAATCAAGGTAGCAAGCCATTCTCCAGGCTAAGTGAGAGTATCAGGAAGAATTCTGTACCATTGAATTAGTTTGCTTCAGGGTTCAGTATCACCCATAAGCTCTTAACCAAGTCAGCAGTGGGTTCCCAGTGTAGGAAATGCCATGCCTTCCCCACCAGCATCACCTTTGTCTTGTCAGTCTGGCATCATTCACATAAAACAGCTCCTCTTGCAAATGAGCCTTCCACTCTTTAAAACGTTCATTTCCCCTTAAAAAATGTGTTTTTAAATAATAAAAAGCACTGTTGTTTTTTTAATCTACCCTGGTAAGAAGGATGAGGCTATAGAACCTTCCGTGGCTGCATGTAGCATGAGCAAGCCAGTCATACGAGGCTCAGAAAAGATGCCACCAATTCCACAAAAGCAGTTGTTCTGCCCTCGGTCTCCCATTTACCCAGGTTGTACTGCTCAGTTTCCCATATTTGCTGCGGGGCAGCATTTTGTCCCGCATCTCCCCCTGATTTCTTGATCCTTATTTTCTGAAATTCTCTCTGCTGCACAATACTAAAAACAACGGAGTTCTACCTTCTGTGCATTTGGCCACTTTTTGGGGTCCGGGAGTTAACTATACCTTTGGGGCACTGGGTCCCTATTCCCTACAGCCTAGCATTCCATAAGGAGATCAGCAGCTGAGAACCCCCATTTGGTATAGGTTCTCCCTAGTGAGTTTATTTTCCCCTTGTGCAGCAACTCTCCCTTCTTGGACCCTTATTGCTTCCTTTACCATCTGGCCTTCCCACTTCACAATACTTACGGCACCCTATTTCCCTTGTCAGGAGGACCTCTGTATCGGGAAACTGGAAAATCAACACGCGCCATG